AGACGCATTGGCTCAAGTAACCATTGTGCTCGCGCCGGGGAACTTGCGACTACCAGCACTCTGCAGATCCATCCCTTGTTGGCCAGTGCAGGGGGTGCTAATATGAAAGACGGCGGGGCCAGGAAGGCCGAGGCAGAGACCGGCTCATCACCAAAGGATAAGAAGTTGAAGCAGGACGGCAAGGCGCAGGCGGAGGAGGAGGAGAAGGTGGAGATGGAGAGTGAAGAGGCGGATGAGGAGCTTGACATGAAGAGCATGATGAAGAGGATGATGAGCATGATGAAGCAGATGCAGAGCAACATGTGTAAATCGAAGGAGGATACCGAGGAGATCAAGACGATTGCAAACCAGGCGAAGGTGACGGCCAGCATGGTAGAGCAAACCGTGGAGATCGTCAGGGGGGAGGTCAACCAAATCCGGGAGTCCGCAGTAAGCAAAGAAGATCTCCCAAAGATGGTCCAAGAAATCGTACAATCGGAAGGGCTGACCACAGGCAGTAGCATGAAGGAGGGGATAGGGAAGACGGAGAAGCCAGGTGCGTTTTCGAAGTTGTCGTCGAGGTGGAGCAGAGCAGAGGTAGAAAAGCGTTTGCGCACAGTGTATTTTGGCAATTTCCCAGAAGATACGACGAATGACATCATCAAGGGACATTTGAAATAATGGACAACACATATTGAAGACGATGTCGACGACATATTTACGTTTGGTAAATTTGCTATCCGAGGAGCGGTTCGATTCAAGACGGAAGAGGCGATGTGGAAATATTTTGCGGACAGCTGGGGCAAGTTGCAGCACGAGGTGATGGGGGAGACCATTTATGCAAATCCAGATTCGCTACACGATTCGAATCCACGCAAGACTAAAACCGTCCGCAAGGTCGTGCGCACGATCATCGAAAGCAATCCCGGGAATGGCGATGATATCAAGAAGAGCATTGACACTGATTACGGGAGGGGGATTGTATGGTGGAACGACAGACGGGTTGCGGAGTGGAAGGAGAACGAGGGGGAGGGCAAGATGAAGTTACTTGGGGCAGCAGAGCAGTGCCAGGATAAGTTTGAGCAGCTTCTGGTAGAGATTTGACCATCTGGCATAGAAGGAGTTCAATTAAAAACAGTAAAAAAAACAGTTGCTGTGTCCAGCGGTGGGGGGACAGGAAACTATCGGCACGTTTGTGGAGACCTTCCCGTGGCAGCGCTGCGCGGCGTAAAGACGCAGCTGGAGGAATCCCACCGTGTAGCAGTGCCGATGCGAGAAGATACGAAGATTGTTGTTTATCACAAAAATGTCCGGGGCTTGGTCTCCGATGGGCGTTTGCAGGAATTGTTCTGCGAGCTGGATCATGTACGGTGGGATGTTGTGACGCTAAACGAGACATGGCGCACAGAGAAGCAATAACTATGCACAGCCTTCGGTGGGCGCATCTTCGCTGGGAGTGGACATGCCAACCCAGATCGTGGAGTTGCGATTCTTATTCCCGGGAAGTGGGCGGAATCGATGAAGAAAGTTGCCGTCATCAACGAACGTCTCATGTATGTGGACTTGCACTTGGGGGCCCAGTGGGTCAGGGTAGTTTCTGCTTATTTCCCTCATGCGACATATGCGGACATACGCGTGCAGGAGATGTACACCGCATTGTCTGGGATCAAGAAAGATGCTAAGCAGAAGCAGTACAAGCTTATTTTGGCTGGAGATTTCAACGCGGATGTCGGCTGCCGGCTCGAGACAGATGACGCCAAAAGTGTTGGGCTATATGGGTTTCGATGTGAAAACTCGCGAGGGCAATGGTTGAAACAATGGGCTTCTCTCGAGCAGCTGGTTATCTGCAGCACGTTCTTCCCCAAACTACCGAACGGGCGGGCAACGCACACGGGATCGAAGAAACAGCAACGGCAGATAGATTTCATTATTGTTGATCGGTCGTCCTGGAAGTGTGCGAGAGATTGCGGAGCCGTTCCGGATCTTGATATGAATTCGGATCACCGTGCTGTGAAGGTCGTGTTCAATTTCCCTGGGTGCCCGTCGGGGCTCCCAGACAGCGAACGCCGGGCCGGTGGGGCGAATATGCGCAGGGTTGATTGGGAAGCAGTCGATACAGATAAATGTTTTACAGTCCGTGGGAAGTTCATTGGTAGTTGACCCTAGTACGGAAAATACGGTTGCTGCACAGGCTCGTTTGCTGGAGACCGCCATGTTTGGTGCAGCTGTCAGCAGTTCGACCCCGACCGCACACCAGGCCAGCGAGGAACTTGAAGACCGCCGCAATTCGATTTCAGAGCTGATCGTGAGAAGACGGACGCTACCTGCCGGCAGTGGCGCCGACAGAGCCGGGATCAGCAAGGCGATCCAGAAGTTACTTAAGAAAGAGAAGAAGCTGCAGGCCACCGAGCGCATCGCGACCATTTTGGACACGTTCACCGGTCTCGACAAGATACCGAAGTTGAAGTCGCCGGTCAAGAAGCGGTTGACCCAAGCGTGCTGGATGGAAGCACGGCCGTGACTTCGCGCGTGGAGATGGCCAATGCATTTGCGTCGTTCTACGAAGATTTATACGCGAGCAAATGCACAGTGGAGCCGGCGCCGGAGCTGGAATTCAAAACGACACTGTCAGATATTGAAGACTTCACGATCGATGAGGTCCGTAAGGCCATCAAGAAATTGAGGAACAATCGTTGTCCAGACACCCGAGGAATAATTAGCGAGATGCTCTCTCATGGCGGGGGCGTTCTTTTGCAATCGTTGGCCAAGTTGCGCAATGGCGTTCGGAAGGCTGATGCCGAACCTCCGCAGTCTTGGAAGCAGGCGGTGATCACGGTAATCTTGAAGTCTGGGGACGAGCGCCTTCCGAATAATTACCGGCCCATAGCTATCATACCGATTTTTTTAAAAGCTGTTCTCGCGCCTCTTATACAGGCGGCTAGTCAAAATTCTGGAGCCTCAACAAAGCGTGGACCAAGCTGGCCTCAGACGCGGCTTTTCCACGGAAGACTCTGCATGTTGTAGAGCAGATTCAGGAGAAAGCCGGTGAGCACCAGATCCCCATCTGGTTCGGAGCCATCGACTTCCAGGAGGCTTTTGACTCTGTTGAACACTAAGGAGCGTGGAATGCTCTCGCCAGGCAAGGAGTACCGAGGGCGTATAAATCTTTATTGCAAAAGCTATGCACCGGGCAATCCGCGCACATCCGCACGGATGTCGAAAGCCAGACTTTCAACATTACCCGCGGCACACAACAGGGAGATCCTCTTAGTTCTCTGCTCTTCAACTCCCTGCTGGAGGACTTGTTTCGCGCCGTGAAGCCGGAACGGGAGAGGGCAAAATATGGATTGCAATTGGTGTGCACATCGGTCTCCCAGCTGACGAATCTGCGCTTTGCGGACGACGTGCTTCTGATCGGGGGCATTTTGGTACAACTCAAAAGAATGTTATCTGATGTGCGGCGCGTGGCTGGCGGCGTCGGTCTTCTCCTGCACCCCGACAAGACAAATGTCCTCACCAACGCTACTGTGGGAACTGGCCGTGGCCCAGCCAAACATGCAATTGTGGATGACCTCAACATAGAGATCGTGGACATGGCCGGCATTGTCAAGTATTTGGGGCGGCTGCTGACGTTCAACGAGCCGACAGAGACTGACATTGAGCACAGATTTCGACAGGCTTGGAAATCGTTCATGTTACACAAAGGTGAGTTGTTGAACAAACACTATTCGTTGAAAAACCGGCTGCGTCTGTTTGAAAGCATTGTCACGTCCACTTTAATGTGCGGGTTTTCGAGTTGGATCCTGACAAAGAATATGGAGAACAAAGTTCGGTGGACCCAGAGGAGGATGCTGCGAATGATTCTTGGGGCTGGCCGGAGGCGCCGGCAAATAAACGTAGGAAGTACATCATCTTCTTCTGCTTCGTCTGCATTATCTTCATCGCCCGCCCATATTTCGACACAGACGCCAATTGGAGTTCAATGCTCTGAGATCGGTGAGGAGGACGAACACCTTGAGCCGTGGGTGGACTGGATACAGCGAGTCACGCATTACATGGACGACCAGATGCTCCAGCTGGGCGTCGATGGCTGGTGTTCTGCGTGGCGCCGCAGAGTCTGGAAGTTTGCTGTGCGAGTTGCGCAACTGCCTGGCGACCGGTGGGCTTGCAGAGCAACGCAGTGGGACCCTGAAGACCATGCGCGCCGAAAGGGAAGACGGCCAAACCGGCCGAAGAGGCGATGGTGTGACGCAGTTTGCGATTTTCTATGCTCTCGTGGACGGACAGCCGCGCCGCTGAACTGGTTTGAGCATGCTCGTGACGCGCCGGCATGGCGACGATGGGAAGCTGAGTTTTGCAGGATGCAGTAGAGTAGCGCCATGGTGCTTTTCCACCCCCTCCCCGTAGTGGGACAGGCTCGCCTGATGCGGTGGTCCGTCCGTCTCAGGAGCCGTGTGCGCGCCCGCCTGGCCAAGGCAGCAGGGCGGGGCGTATCTGCCGCGGCCAGGCTCAGGACGGGCCTGGCCAGGGAGCGGTGGGCATGTAGATTTCGTCGCCCCGTCCCTCCCCCTCTGCCTCCTCCTCCTCCTCCTTCTCCTCCGCCTCCGCCTCCGCCTCCTCCTCTTCCTCCTCCTCCTCCTCCTCCTCCTCCTCCTCTCCTCTCTCCTCCTCCTCCTCCTCCTCCTCCTCCTCCTCCTCCTCCTCCTCCTCCGCCTCCGCCTCCGCCTCCTCCTCGGCCCTTCCCCTCCTCTCGCAATGCTGGGGCCGCGGAGGGCCCAGACGTGCCTCCACCCGGCCAGACCTCTCCTCGAGGCCACCGTGGCCCCCCCGCGCGCGGCGCGGCACCCCGAAGGGGGGCCCACGCCGCAGCACGGGCGGGCCCCGCACTAGCTCGGAACGGGCGCCGCACGGCGGCCGCCCCTCTCCACCCTCTCCCCCTCCCCGCCCCCTCGAACCAGTCCCCCCCCTCTCCTCCCTCCTTCCCCTCCCCCTCCCCCCCTCCTCCTGCTCCTGCTCCTCCTCCTCCTCCTCCTCCTCCTCCTCCTCCTCCTCCTCCTCCGTGCTCCCGCTCCCTCTTCTTCCCTCCCCCCCTCCCGCCTCGCCCCTGGCGGGGGCGCCCGCCCCTTGGCGCCCCGCCTTCGCCGGAGGTGCGCGGGGCAGGGGGGGGGCGGGGCAGCGTACCCGTCGCGCGCGGCGGCGCGGCGGCACATCGAGGGAGGGCGCCGACGATGCTCGGAGGCGACGACGGGGGCGAGCAGCCCAGGGGCGGGCACTGCACGCAGTCGCCTGGGAGGCCTCGCCGAAGGCATGGACCATCGGCGCCCCCTGGACACGTGGGGCGTTCCAAGAAGGGCCCTGCCTTCGGGGATTGGAGGAGTTGAGGAGTTGCCATCTCTTCCTCGGCGCGGAAGGCGGCGGAAGGTCGGCGGAAGTGAAACGGCGGCGGCGCCGCTGGCGGAAGCTCGGCGGAAGGCGGCGGAAGTGAAAGGTGCGCCCCCAAGGGATGGAAACGCTTTTGGGTTCAGGGCTTCCGGAATCGGCCACGCGTATTTGCTCTCCCCCAGGCCATTCGCCCCCCCCATCGTCGCCCCCGAGGTGCACACACCCGGACCTCCGACGGCATAGCCTCTCGCTACAGAGGGGCTCCACGGTGCCTCTCAAAAGGGGCCGCGGTATAGTCCCGTAGAGGGGGCCATGTGGGGCCCGCGCCCGCTGGGTGCCGGTAGCCCTCTGCGTGTTGCCAGAAGTGCCCCTGGCCCAAGGCGCCCCCCAGGATTTCCAAGGAGGTCCCCACGGCCTCCAGAGCACCCCTCACGAGGCCCAGGGGGCCCCAGGGGCTCCAAGGACGATGCGAACAGCTGGGGGCGCCCGGGGAACCGGGTCCTGAGGGAAGCGGGTCCCGAGGTTTTGAGCCGTTCTCGGGCTCTCGGGGCCCTCCACGGGCCCTCCACGGGCTCCGGGATTGGCAGAAAATGAGTCACGCTGAAAGATCGCGTCCTGGGGGGGGCCCCAGGGTCCAGGACCCGTTTCCTTCAGGACCCGTTTGCCCCATGCTGCTTCCGGACACGTTGTTCAGGACTCGTGTGAAGTCGGGCCTGTCCCTCTACAGGAAGAATTCTCAAAAATGATCAAGAAATAGTCAGGGGACGTTTTTTCGACTACTTTTGGCTATGTTTGGCTATTTTTGGTCTTTTTGGACTATTTATTATTTTTCGTTCAAAATCCGCCTGTACGGGAACAAGCCCGACCTCAGACTCGTGCCCTTGCTTCAACGCCAGCCACATTTTTGGCCTGGGCGGCCGCGATCCCTGGTTAGGAGTGCACCAGGGTGCACATCTGGCCCTGCTCTCGCCCCCGTCCCCAGTCCTGCCTATGTCGGAGGCGAGCGAGGGGGGGAAATGAGAAGGGGAAGGCCTTCTCAGAAGGCGGCGGGACTTGTCAGAAGCCCTCGCGCCTTCGGAGAAATTTTTCCTGTCTTCGGTGAAGGCGTGGAACACTTCTCAGAAAGCCAGGTGACTTCCGAACCTGCTGAGAAGGCCTTCTCCTTCTCACTTCCCCCTTCGCTCGCCACCGACTGTGGCCAGTGGTGATGGAAAGTCGGCCCATCAGATCGAAGGCACCACAGAGAAGGAGATGGAGGAGGAGGAGGAGGAGGAGGAGGAGGAGGAGGAGATGGAGGAGGAGGAGGAGGAGGAGGAGGAGGAGGAGGAGGAGCGACGCAGAACAAAAGGGGCTCACCTGCGCCGACGTTCGCGCATGAGCTGCCTGCGCAAGGTCGCGCATGGCCCCTCGTGCTCCACCCGGCGTGCCGCGCTGGCAGCCCGCGTAAGCCGCGGCGTAAGGTCGCTATGCCACCTCGCGCAAGACCCGTTTCTTTTCGTCGCTCAGATGGGTCGTGGTTTGACCTTCTGGGAGCCTTGGCGTGTTTTTTTGTTTTTTTTTTGTTTGTTTGTTGTTTGTTTGTTTTTTGCTATATATATATATATATATATATGTTCTTCTTATTATTCTCCCCCCAGCGACGCGATCCTGTCTGGGGTTGGCGCCCTATCGCAGGTCGGCTTGTGGGTTGCACCCGGTTTGCCAGGCGACTCTTTGAATCGCACGGCAGCTGAGAACGTGCAATGTGGAGGTGCAGTTTGTTTGTTTGTTTGTTTGTGTGTGTGTTCGGGCGACGAAATCTATACACATCCATAGCTTCCTGGCCAGGCCCATCCTGAACCCAGCAGCGGTGTGTGCGCCACGCCCTCCTTGGATATGTATAGAGTTCGTCGCCCAGATGTGTGTGTGTGTGGGGGGGGAGGAGAGCAACTGTCTGGCGCTGGCGCCCTCCTATTACAAGGCCGCGCACCTGCCAGGCGGCGCGCCGCGCGGGCGCCCTCCGCAGCAGCGGCGCGTGTCGGCGCCGCACCGGCCCCGCCGCGGCGCGCGTGGCGCGAGAGGAAGAGGCGGGCGCCGGCGCCGCCGCGGCGCGGAGGAGGGAGGAGTGAGGGGTGAGGAGTGAGGAGTGAGGAGTGAGGA